TTTTTTTTTAATTGGTAATAACATAACAAAAATTCTGTTCTTATTGATAATATCAGTTCAACGGGTAGTAACTTTATACATTTCATGATAAAAACTAATTTTAATACTTTTTATTCTCTGATTTAATAATATTAATTAAGAAGATAAATAATAATTTTTACTCATACAAAAAGATCGTTAATTCACGTAATTCGCCACGCATACCTACTCACGTTACAATATATCGATATCTACATACATAATTTATATATTTATATATATATTGTAATATGACAAAATGATATACGTGTTTTCGTTGTGATTTTGAGTTATGGTTATATTTGTATTTGTGTTGATTGTTCGGGTTGATTGTGACGATATACGTATATATGTATGTGGTTTTATTGATAATTATTATCGCCGATGCCCATTACGAGGCACATATTATAATTGCGTTTTGTTGGTGTGTGACTATGTGCGGGTTAGCATTATTTTTTTTTTTTCTAGAGAGAACGTATCTTTCAAGAATGTAAATGTTATTTAAATGGCGTTGGCCGAGCCAAGCCCCAAGTTTTTTTTGCCCTACGGAGCTAGAACGTGTTGTTTGGTTAGATGTGCGAGCCAAAGCTTATTGTTATTATTTTTATTATTGTTCTTTTTATATATTAAATCCTATTGTGGTCCGACCTGATGGTCTCGCCCTGTAGGTTGGCGACCCTCCTTAAAAGGGGAAGTCATGTGAGATGATGACGCTTCGGGACCTTACAATATATATTATATACAAGTTATAAGAATCTTATGGTCGATTTACACTTGGCCGAGAAAACAGAAAATAAAACGCAATAGCAACTTCTTAATTTTTCTAATTCCACGACAGATTGGAAACAGCAACAACACAATAACTTTTCGTTTACACCAAAAGAAACAAATTGGAAACATATACTAGACAAAATGTTATATATAATTATTATACTTAATTTATATTTTAAAATACCAAATGCCAATTGTCACACCATACCTGTTTACACCAGAGAAAAGTTGCTGAAAACAAGAATAAAACAGAAACACTTTTTATGTTTACCGCTTTCGAGCGAACACCAAAATATTTTCAAAAGCACGAATATTCCGTCGCCAGTTTCGATAATGCCGGAAAAATGTTTCCGTTTTGTCACGGATTTGTAGGGAAACAGAATGTTGCTTTTTGTCGGCCTAGTGTAAACCCGATATTTGACTTCAAATGTTGTTACTCGTTAATTCGGATTGTACGCAAATCCTCAAAGTAGGTACTTCAATTGTACGGCATATTTAATCAGACGTGGTGATGACTGATGATGTGATAGTGGCTCGCGACATCGGGTAATGACTAATTCAATAATTGAATTAAAATTATTAAAATCATTTTAGAAACGCAATAATATTTTTATGAATCTGGGTTTCCATACCGTGCAGCGTGCCATAACGAAGTTGGTGCTTACATATTTGGTGTAATATTATAATATTTGTTTTGTTTTATTACAAGATTTCGGTACGAAATATTTTTCGATATTAGTTTTAGGCGCGAGCCCTTGAAAGCGCAAGGTCCTGGGCAAATACCCTGTAAGGTAGGTTGAAATGCATAAATTAATATTTCATACTGAACAATTATTAATTGTATTCTTAAAAAACTTGTTTTGATTTATGCATGACAATCGGTGGAGCTCTAAATTTAAAGTGGTAACGGTTATATTGTTACGATTGTATTGATTAGGTGTCGGGTAAGAGTTTTGATTGTTTTTTATCGTTCCGATCGGCGAGTCACCTGTGAGTTTTTGTAAAGGCTACACCAAGTCGTAAAGCGCTACCACTTAAATAAAGAAAAAGGTAAAAACTAATGTGAATTTTTATTATTACAACATAACCAAAACAACCAGCTTAAAGTAACATCAATATTGAATTATTTTAACTTTATATAACACTAGGTTTTAAAATAATTTGACTTCAAAACTCTATTACATTAAATTAATATTATAATGTCAATTGTCAATTTATGTCTTTGAAAAACCCGCATCACGATACACGATTTATACAAGTAGTAATTTTTTTTTTTTTTGTAATTCTTTATACCTAATGTCAATCTATATTATATTGTTATAAACATTTATTATATTGGTTTATCGTATGATCCATTATTTTACATAAGAACCGTGTGTAAAATTATATAAATTAAAATACAGTTACACACAATCTTGTAAAGTATTTGAGTAAAAGTATTCAAATACATTTTAAGTACTCAAATACGTACTATAAATACATTTTAAAAAAGTACTTGGGCACAGTATTTGTAATGTATCTGTATTTAAAATCAAATACTATTTTTAAACACTTTTTTCCTCTTACTTTATGTACAGGGACGCCAAATTTAAATAAAATAATACGAATCGTACAACATTATTATTTATAGATCATTATTATTATTTTCATCGCCCGTTGTTATTATATTTATATTATCTCGATAGTGAATAACAATAGCTACCACGCCATATGTACTAAATAACCAATAACCGTATGGTGTATAGTGTATGCATCAGGTACATTGTCGCCAAATTTATAGCGTTTGAAGGTACGTACACCGGACCAAAAAATGCTGAATTCTCATTCTAATTAATTGAAGTACGACTAAATAGTGCCGAAAAGAAAAAAATCAATTCGTTTTACTGATGATTGAACCGATCTACGTGGTCGTTAAGGTAAAAATGTAAGACACCTTTAAAAACGATTTGTATCCGTAGTTGAATGCTTTTGAAAAGTATCTTTTACGAGACTGGTTACGTAGCACAACACAGTGCAGACGGGGTGTTCGCAAACGGTACGAATAACGTCGTTGCTCGGCACGCGGGCGCGCGCGTGTGCGTACCAGTGTTCTGCGTTATGTTGTAATGTTTATCAAAGGGGAAACCATTTTGACGTGTGACGGCTAAAACGTACGGACAAAAAAAATTCTTCGAAAAACAATTCGTACGTAATACGTGTATAAAAAAAAAAAAAAAACCCCCCGAATAAACATAATTCGTAATAACCGCTTGAAGTACGCGCAGTGCAACCACCGTAGGTCTGTTATTGTAACGATGACGGATTTCGTGGTGACAGTCGATTTCTTTAACGTACTGACGGTATTTTATCGCAACGTAACCGTCAGATTTGTAAGCACGTCGGCCGATATACCGCTGCGGCGATCGATAAGTTCGCGGCGTGCGACAAGTCCACGCGTATCGGTTGGCCGCGGCCCACAAGCGACGACGACGATGATGATGATGATGATGATGATGGTACTAATCGGAAGGGGGGGGGGCGGAATGTAACGTATACCGATTACGGTCCGGGTCAAGTGTACGGCCGATTAATTAATCGTGGACCGATAATCCGATTTCCCCGTGTAACGCGACAACACCATTGTTCGTGTGCACCGCGATGGTACGCGTTTACAAGTGTGCAGGTACATCTGCGGTACATTGATCTACGATCGATTCGATTGTTCGCCACCGTTCCCCCGTACCGTTCGTTCCGCACAGGTGCCGGTACGTTGGAATATTGGTTTTATCGGTTCGCAACGTTGTACCGTATTGTTCACGCGGATCACGTTTCGAGTGTATACAACGCCGTCGTTGGTAACGACAACGAGCGTGTGCGGCACACTACCTACGGCGGCGTGTAAAAGCGTTAATAACAATAATAATAATAATAATAATAATAATTGTAGTAGCAGTTGTTATGGTGGCGATGGTGATGGTGGCGGTGGTGGAGGTGGCGATAACGTAATACGGCGCCTTCTTCGATAATTTATAACGTGAGCGGGCCGCGGCGGTCGTTACGGCGGCCCGAGAGCGCGTTCGTAAAATCGAAAAATCGATCGGGCCCTATACCACCCCTGCGCTAGCGCGCGCGCGCACCGTTCCGCGGGCGCACGCACGCACGTCAAGTGCCCGCGGCGCTATTGTATCGGCCGGCCAACTTCGATTTTGTACGACGTTTTATCATGGCCGCCGCGGTACGCTTCCTTCGCGGCGCGCAATATTACCGCGGGCACTAGATGCGCGTGCGCGTCGCCCAAGGGTGACGGCTAGACTTGCCCACACGTACGCGCACCGACCGGAAAACACACTCGCACGCGCGCACGCACGCACGAACGCACGAACGCACGCACGCACGCACGCGTGGACGAGTGATTATTATAATATCCGTGCGCGTATTGTATAACCCTCCGAGGCGGCGATCGCCCGGTGTCCAGCTGCACAAGTACGAGGGTGTGTTCCCCTCTTCGCGCGCGTGGTACACCCTCCGCCGATCGCGTGTATTCGCATGCGATCGCACACACGCGTGCAAGCACACGCGCACACGCGCACACCAACACACCAACACACGCACACACACCAACACACGCACGTGCGCTGGCGAACGAGCGGCGCGCCATTGTTGGCGTCGCTGGCGGCTAGGGAGGTGTTTCACCCCGTTGCCACCGACTCGGTTTTTCGTCGGCTCAATTACCCACCGAAACGGATCAATATTGTTCAGTGTTGTGCTAACTCCGGCCCCAGCCACACGGCGCGCTCTCACCGGTCGGCCGAAGGAACACGTTAAGGGCGAGTAGTGAAAGAGAGAAAAAAAACCGTACGAGAAAGGCCCCGGGAAACGTACAGAAAAAAAAAATATATAAAAATAAGCGGAAAACGTAGTTTAAACGGCACGCCGAGTGGAATCAAGATCGCGTGCGATTCGTTTCGTACAATGTAAACAGTGCGGCAATCGTAAAAACATTTCGGTGTAATAATCCATCGATCGATCCGAATCGGTACGAACGGTCGGAGCGACGCTCGCGTCAGTGTCACGGTCGAACCGCGCTCGATAACTCCGCACGTGTATACGTGTTTCGGGTTTCTCGTTTATTTTCTCGTATCGATCCCTTTAGGTTTATTTGCTTTTCATACTTTTTCAGTACGAAATATCGTACGTTCCGTGTTTTTTTTTTTTATTTTCCTATCTTATCCCTTCGGCGCAAGCATTCCGACGACGACTCGTACGGAGTTGAAGCGTACGCGGACGACCGACTACCACGAGGACGCCGTCTACGGAGGGGTGGAGGATACGAGACATGTGCCCGCCTCCGCGGACGACAACGACGACGACGCCACAACCACCAACGTCGGCCAGTCGCGGCGCCCGAACCGTACCGTCAGTACCGCGGAGGAAACGTTGATTGTTGTCGGACGGCGGTTTTTGCGCTCGCATCGATCGGTCTTGATGAATTTCGCCGATGGATTTCCAGTAACGGGTAAAACGGCGACATCAGTACCGACACCGGCACCAGCAGCACCATCAGTAGCACCGGCACCATTGGCACTGTCGTAGCGGGCGCGCGACCGACACACGACCGTAACGGTAAGGCGCGCGCACGCCGCCGACGTCGCTGCCCCCGCGCAGGGCACAACAGCGCGCGCGAAATGCTATCCGACCACGCCGCCGCCGCCGCCGCCGCCGCCGCCGCCGCTGACGCTGCCGTCGTTGTTGTTGTTGTTGTTGCCGTTACCGCACCAGTGTCGCGGTCGCCGTCACCGTCGCCGTCACCGATGTTGTTTCCGTCACTGTCGTTCCGTCACCGCCGCGCAGCCGATTAGAGTGTGACCACGACCAAGTACCGCGCGACCACGGCTGACCGCCGAATGGAAAACATTCACAACATGGCGCCGGAGTCGCCGCTCAACGAAGTGGTGGTCGAGACAATCGATTCACCGCAAGACGTGCGGGCGCACGTCGACGCCGGTCGGTCGTCCGCGTGTCCCGTCGCCGAACCGCCACCGACACGCGAACTGTGCATCACGCGAGTGCCACGTTCGCAGCCGGCCAGCAGGATCGTGTGCCATGCACGTTGTCCGCGGCCCGTCCACAACGACAACGACGATCGCGACGAGTCGGAGGACGACGATCTGGACGACGATCTGGACGACGAGCTGGACGACGAGTTGGACGACGAGTTGGACGACGACGACGACCAGCACCACGACCGCGGTGGTGGGCACGTGCCGTCACACAACCAACACCACCAAACGTCCCACCATCACAACTTGCACAATCACCAACACCAACAACAACAACAACAACAACACCATCAGCACCAACAGCAGCAGCAGCAGCATCAGCAGCAGCAGCAGCAGCAGCAGCAGCAGCACCATCACCAACATAACCAGAACACGGATCGCTCACCGATCGAGAGTAATGGCGGTGGTAGCCGTCGCGGCGTAGGTGGCACCGTCGTGGTCAGAGGTGGTGGTGGTGGTGGTGGTGGTGGTGTTGGTGCCAGTGGTGGTAGCAGCGTCATCGTAGAAGACGTCAAACCGCCCGAGAGCACCATCACGGTGATCGTGCACCACCCGGACGACGAACGGGCCAACCGGTCGTCCAGGCTCAACGTCAGACACACCGTCAGCGTGGCCGGCATGATCGAATCGCAAGATTATCACCGTGGAGGTGCCAACAACAACAATAACAACAGCAATAGCAACAACAATAACAACAGTGTTCTTCAGCTGCACCACCATCAACAGCAGCAGCAGCAGCAGCAGCAATCCGAGCCTACTTACCAGACGCTTACCTCGGTCAACGGCCGGATGTCACCGCCCGGCTACAGCCCGAACTCGTCGTACGCCACGCTCACGCCGCTGCAACCCCTGCCGCCGATATCCACCATGTCCGACAAGTTCGTGTACGGACACTCCAATAACGTGTCCGGCTCGTTCACGGTCATGCAGAACAACATCGGTGGCATGGGCATGGTGGTCAACAGCCCGTACACGTACGACAAGATGGGCATGCACTCGCCCAACCACTATTCGCCCACGAACATGCACCACATGCCGCCGCAGCAGGGCTCGCCGATATCGCCGCAGAGCGCGTCGTACAGCCAAAACGGTGGCGGCGGTGGACCCGGCGGCGGAGGCCTCAACTCGCCGCAGAAAAGCATGTCGTCGCCGAACAGCTGCTACGATTCGCCGTACACGCAGATCGGTGGAAACGCGGGCGGCCGCGCGGGTTCCGGAGCCGTGACCGTGGTGCACAGCCCCGATCTCAGCCAAAACTCTGGCTCGCTGCATTCACCACCCATGTCCAGCTACGGTGGCACCACCACGCTGACCAACGTCAACGGGCTGACCACGATCACGCCGCACCCCGGCGGAGGCCGTATTGGTGGCGGCGTCGTCGTTTCCCCTCGCCACTCACCGTCTCTGGTCATACACCCGATCATTCAACCCCAGGAGGTGGTGGTCACCACCTCTTCGCCTTCGCCGCCCGATCACTCACAGAGGATTCAGATGATGCACCACCAACAGCAGCATCAGCAGCAGCACACCACCCTCATCAAGACGACGCAGTCCATCACCACCACGGTGCTGGTGCAGAACACGTCGACGATCGGCTCCAATGGCAGCGGTTCCGACATGGAGGAGATCAACACCAAGGAGCTGGCGCAGAGGATCAGCGCGGAGCTGAAGCGTTACAGCATCCCGCAAGCGATATTCGCGCAGCGCGTGCTATGCCGGTCGCAGGGCACGCTGTCCGACCTGCTGCGCAACCCCAAACCGTGGTCCAAACTGAAATCCGGCCGGGAGACGTTCCGCAGGATGTGGAAATGGCTCCAGGAACCCGAGTTCCAAAGAATGTCGGCCCTCCGCTTGGCAGGTACATGCACATGACCGCGCTCGTAGCCTGCGCTTTTCTCCTTATACGCGTTACAACACTTTTTTTTACACATCGATTCTACATAAACGTACATCGTTACGCTTGCATTTAAATATCAAGCGCTATGCATACTTTGTGCCCAATGATTTTGGTCACTTTTTAAGTGCAAACACCGCCACCGCGCATCACTCGTATACAACACGTGGTTATCGATTTATTATTATTCTTGTAACGCCGCGTGTATAAGTGTGATGTGCTTGTGTTTGTGTGTGTCAAGCGTTCTATCCTTGCCACCTCGGCAGCCTTGAGTCCTTCTGTGACTTTTGTGTGGTCGGTGTTCTTCCCGCTCACACTTTTCGCCGCCTAACTCGCTTTTTTTCCACGCCTTTTGCATAGGTCTTACCTGTTAAATATATTGTTGTGTAATAATATTATGAATGTTTCACTCGCTTTGCATGCGAACCGATTGCACCCGAATCAGATTTATGTTGATGCAAAATAGCCCTAAAATCCCAAAAATCACCATAAAATCATCCCGGGCCCTCTTGGTACCCTGCGTTTCGTTTTCTATAGTTAAGTTAGGATTTAACTAATCTGATCGACCGTAATACATTTTAGTACACTTGTCAGCTCTAGTCGTATGTATAAGCGTTTCTCTGCACAAACCAATCGTCGTGGTTTATCACCGTTCGAGTGTTCTGTTGGAGAACTGCTCAGAAGTTTTAGCTGATTAGTTTGAGGGATGTAATTTTTACAAATTTTCATTTAAAATCACTAAAAATTTCGATCGGTTTTCACGAAGAACTTCGGGAGTTTGTACGCCATAAAATCCTCTCGTCCCTAATTCGCAAACACTTTCTGCTCCCGACACACCTGGTGGTCAGTTTCTTACGATTTCGAACACTACCGTCAACCGTTCAATTTAATACAATTTCGTTTATCGTATATTTTCGGAAAAAAAATTCGCATAAATATATGATATTTATAATTCATACACGTCCTACACAATACTTTGTGCTTTGTCGTTCAGTTATTACAATACTTTGTCGTACGAGTTCGCCCGCATTCGATAGTTAATTTCTCTGTTTACAAAACGTTTTAAAATTTTTAACCTGCACATCAAATTTTAAACGGCAGAAAAAAACTGGCGGACGTGTTACACATCGTTGTTCAGCTGTGTACCTGTATATCGGTGGCGAACACAAAGATATTTTTTTTTCAATATTTCACAATGATTTCCATATCGATACGTCGTCGTGTATTGTATGTTAAGTGAACGTAACACATAAATTTGCTTCAAACCAGTCGGATGTCACCACACACGTACTACATATATATTTTAACGTGATGGTTTACGTACAAGTCTATATATACATCAACCGCGTTTCATAAAAACACTAAGAATACATTTGAGTTCTCGTTTGAACTTTCATTGATGCAATTAATATTTATTTTTTTTTTTTATTTTTTTTTTTTTTTTAGTTACAATGTACACGTTGCACGTGTCCGATTAATTAGATTCATAATCGGTTTCACTTCGGGCATTTTTTTTTTTTTTTTTATTTTAATTTTAACGTTTCCACGCAGAAATTACTCGGTCGCGTAAAACTTTTAACACCTTGTGCACGTATCGATTAAACGTTAGGCGAATAAATAATATTTGTATACGCGTGTACGTAAGCAGGAACACCGTTGGGGCCGGGGGTTGACGTGATCGATTCACCGTGCACACCAAGCCTAAAGAGATAAGACGTCATGGTGTAGTACGTGCATCGAAACGCCGGAACTCTCACGCGACGCACCCGTTTCACGTGCTGCAGGAGATTTGAACGCACTTCCTCCCGTATATCCGTTACGCGATCGCGGTTTTTATTTTATTTTTTTTTTTTTTATTTTTTCCGCACGTTGTTCGGGGACAGGTGCGCGCGCGCGGAAAGGGTGTACCGATTACGTCGCGAACAGGAAGAGGGGTGAACGAGACGGACGCGCGACGGAGGGAGTCACCGGGGGCGCCTACGCGTTCGGCGGTGGGCCGCGCCGCGAACACAAAAACGAAAATGTTGCGCGCCGCGCGATATTGTCACGTGAAGTCGACCGGTGCGAACCGTGCGCGCCCGCGTGTTAACACCAATACCGTATCCCTTTCCCCCCCCCCCCCCCCCCACCCGCCAATATTTACGTTGCGTAATCCCGTCCTTGGGTTCGGAACGGTACGGGTAACGTGGTCGGCAACGAGATTCTCCCGTACGACACACGTATCCCGACACCGTGCGGGAACAACGTATTGTTCTTCGGCGTGCACCTATTTAACAGTGTATTGCTGGTGCACGGACGAAAACGATCATCCGTGCGATTCTCCGACCCGTTTTCGTGCACGTGGTACACGGCGAACAAAATTGAGCGCGTACGTCGACGGACGGCGTAATAACATCGTTTCGACGGCTCGGAAGTTATGTTGCACTGAACAGCGTTGATCCGGTAAAAGATTACGAAAAATTGTCCGTGAAAATTGCATTGTTGCTGTAAAAATACCCGAATTCGCGCTTTTTATTCACCATAATAACTATTTAAAATGGAGTGCACGAGTATTTTTTTTTTTTTTTTTTTTTATTAAGACTATCATATTACAAATGTGAGTTCTTTTACAAAATGTTTCGGATTAAAAATTATAATGTCCATAAATTATCATTTACTATTATTGTTATTATGTTTCTCTGACATATATTAATAACTGACGTAGACTACATCATTATTTTATTTCTTACATAAAAAAAAAAAAAAAAAAAATCATGAGAATAATATTTAAAAGTATCTAAAATTGTATTGTAAACGAAGAAAATCGATAAAATTGCATTCAAATAGAAAAAATTCTAAAAATTTCATACAGTTTTAAGGCACAAAAAAATTTTAAAATTAAATTCGTATTTGCGTGGAACGAATTTATAACCTACTTAGCAATAAATCCGAACAATAGAAAAAAAGTTGCAAATGCAACAACTTCCGAGACCTAACTATTATTGTTACGATCATGTGATGATATTTTTTTTTAGAGTTTTCGCTAGATTAAGAAAAAAGAAAAATTTTATTCCGGACATCACTGTTGAACGAATTCGATAAACTGAAAACCTATCCCGACCGTTGAATATTTATGACTCATAAATTATTATGAGTGTTTCGAATTTATCTTAATATTTTAATGTATAGACGTACATTTCACGTTCAATAACCGAATATTTCAATATTATTTTCCGTCACATTCGTATTCAGGCACACTTTTTGTACGTTATCATAATAACTATGACTGCTTCGGTGAATCGAGTGTGCACTTATTGTGGCTTATACGACTGTATACAAATACTCATGATTTATGATAACGATTAGGTACTGCTCACGAAAAGCGAATGTTATTCCTAGGAACATTATTTTTCGCATTTTCACTTTTGAAATTTAATTTTATTAAATGTGCCGGGACATTTGCATAATTAATAAATTACAGTTTTAATCACAAAGTAGATAAATAAGTCCTAAAAATAATTCGTTGAAACGCTGTGTGTAAAAAAAAAAAAAGCAACACATTTTATAACTCAAAAGTTTTATACTCGATTAGGGAAAAAAAAAATTTCATTTTACACCAAATTGTCTATTTTATACTTCTAAATTCAGTTCTACTTTTAAAATGTAGTCATGTATAGTTTAGTCTTTTTAATTCAAAAAAATTCTATCATATTATGTATTGTTTCATTAGTTTATCCTTAGAAATAGATTTTATTACTCGTACAATAGTTTTATCCACATAAATATGTTCGCATGTCTGGAATTGCGTTTATTTATTAGTAACATTTCATGTTGATGCTTGTTTTATCTACATACGTTTATGCTGTATTTAAGAATATTTATTGAATATGAACTTATTCGGATCATGGAAATTTAAACATAGTCCGATCCGATGGTTAATTTACTTTCATAATTCACTAACACTAACCTATATCATAGTATTTTTACTATGAATATTTTATCTCATCTCCGAACGTTTAAAAGTGTTTGGCGTTTTAAAAAAAACGCAATATTTTACATTATATATAAAAAAAAAACATACATAAATATATAACATATTATATAAGTATATATTATGATTTACTTCAACATCATATATTTTAAGTGACAGTTTCACAATTTCATTCTCGAAAAAAAGTTTTAAATTAAAATAAGGACAATAATAGTATACAATAATATTTTACGTCGTGGAAATATTTGAAACCAGTTTAGCCGCATTATTAACATTGAATATTATTTTTTTTATATTAAACCAACACATTTTATTGTTTAAAATTAATGAAGTACCTAACTTCATTATAATAACTATGTAAATATTATTTTTTTAAACTATGTTCAAACTTTTACGCTCTAATTGCTATTGTTTTTCTTTTAAAAAAAATAACCGCATATTTATAATTAAGTTTTGAAGTCATTTTATGAATTAATAAAAAAATTATAAATTCTTAATGAATATAGCATTAAATCTAAATCATCATAAAAAATAAATAAATGTTAAATCTTGTTCATTTATAACCGATGATTGTTTAGTAATATAGTAACATTTTAAATTTAAAAAAAACGTTCACTAAATTTAATTTCCACCCAATAATCATATTTTTTTATTTATATTAATTTTAATATTAAGATGCATTATGTTTCACGGAAACAAAAAAATAGGTATACAATATTTATATTTTTTGTTTTTAATCGAATAGCTAACAAATAATTTACTAATTAGATTTCTTAAAAATATTTCTCAGATAATTACCAAAAATGAATTTTTAAAATGAACTATTATTTACTACAATACATTTAAAATGTATATAAATGTATTTTATTGCTCGTGCATAATAGCGTCTGATTGATTTTATGGTTCTTTGTTTATAAAACAATGTCCGCTGTACGTAAATGCTTGATTATCATTTATTTATTATAAATCTTATTCGCACTATCGCTTATCTCATATTTATAATATTATTATTTATATAATTTGTTTAAATGAAAAGAAAATAGCTTATAGTTTTAAAATTTCAGATGATTCCTCTTCTAACCTTGGTCAAGATTTAGAAGGTGAGTAACAATAATTTTTAATGTTTATTTGTAGAAATAGTATTTAACTATACACACTAGTATACATACACATAGTTTATTATTAGTTTTAAACATACTCTATAAAAATCAATGAACTGAATAAAATATGATTACTAAATAGTTAATGTAAATTGTTATGTATACTTATAATAAGTATTTAAATAGAAATAATAAATTAGTGTTGGAATTTAAATCATAGAGCAGTTTAAGTCATAGGGACTAAGTGCAAAATAAAACCCTGAAGATAATGGACAAAGGTTTTGTTTTTTATAAAAATGGCCTATATTTTATTCTTACGTAGTGCGATATGATACAGCCGATGTCATATGCAAAACAAATAAATAGCAGTGTGATAAGAACTACTAAAACAAATTTGGAAAATGTATATGAAACTGATACAAGGTCGATTATTATTTTTTTATTTTTTTATTGTTTTTTTTTTTTCATTTTTACCATTGAAAAAACAAGACATGAAACTTCGATTCAAAAACATTTTATAATCGAAAAAAAAAAAGTGAAGAGCTTATTTCTTCTGTAACAACAACAAACTTCTGAAACAATTTTAGTCTATTCACAGAATTTACATACCATGTAATTTATTATACCTTTGTATCACTTGGTACATTGGAATGATAATGACAGTGTTTACTATACAGTCCGTAACAGTTGCAACCATAATATGCGTAGGTATCTCTATTATTATTATAATATTCATAACACAAATTACCATCACAATCCTTTAATCAGTATTTCTAATACTTTCAAAAAGAAAAACATTATTTAATTAGCCCTATAGTATACAAATGAACCGTATTTTTAAAGATTTTAATTGAATCAAAAAATGTACTGAATTTACAATGATAGTTTTTCTTACTGAACAGTTTTTCTGATTATAAGACTATAACACAAGTTTGTTTTAGTATTAAAATAAATATTGTACTATGCCCGAAGCGTATTATATAAATGGATTATTTTTCGATTTGCTCACTCATTTTTCTTATACTAACGAAAAATTGAAGAAAAAAAGACCTCTGAAATAATGTCAAACTTAATAAAATAATATGTATTTTAATAGAATAAGTCATATTTTGTTTTATTTATTGAAATATAATTTTATAACTAACCATGAACATTTATAATAGTATACGAAAAACTTGAATGACTTTTCTGTCAATGTCGTCAATACAAATTAAAAGTGTAAAGTACGAAATATAATATTATTTTCACAAATAACGTTGATTTCTAACAGTTTTCAAATATATTATAATATAATACAACAGCTAATATTTATGAGAGATATATAGATATTTTTTTCTACCTTGGTAAAATATAATACCAGTCTTAAGGTTTACCCAGACCTATGTAGTGATCAGTGTACTATGATGAGGTGTATAAATATTTATAATTAAGTCGCTTATATTCATAAAAATATGATTCTGTAAATGTTTCAATTTTTGTGTGTAGTATTTAATTTATTTCACTCTGTATCAAAATAAATAGGCATTAGTTTTGAACATTTACGATACTTAATTACCTAATTTATACCATCAACGTTTTTATGTTTTTATAATTATATTCGGTTTACGCTGTTTTAAAATGTAGGGTGTCCTGATTTAAGTAATTTCCATAATTATTAAAGATAACAGACATTGGGCTTATACTCGTAATTAGATTGAATGTATACGTTTTTCATTTGTATTTATAACGCCTTACGTACGCGTTTCATTCACTCCTAATTTACTCTAAAACCGTTTAACAATTTGATTATCTTCGTTAAATATATTAATTAATAGGATGCTTTTCAATTATTTAAGTTGTAAGAAATCGATAACCGTAACAGTTTCTTTTTTATAAATGTGTTTACGTTTGATTATATTTTAAAACTATTAAATGTTCGTATATGTTTCAAGTGTATTTCAGTAAGATTATCTTGGAAAACTGATTATTTATTCATCCGATTCTCAAAACCCATAATTTTCTGCATTTAAAATTTTAATACCAACTTGAAACGCTCAAACCCAGTACATCGGATTTGCATTGAATAAGTTCATATTATTCATTACAAACAAGCATGTTTACCTTTCCAAGAATAACTTACACAGAACATTTCGTTGAAATTCGTCTTTATAACTCAAAAGTAATGTCCCGGCAGCTTTTAGAGAAACTGATCATAAAATATTAGCGCGTTTAGAGTACGTACACCTAATTCTCAGTAAAGAGAAAAGCGTACGAGGACAGTGACCTGCGTCTATTTTATCAAAGTCGCCGTTGGCAACACCACAAACGCTCGAACATCAAGAGCATCACCCCCTCAGTTGTGAAAAGGGACTATAAAAAATGACGTCATCGCTTTTTAGAAGGGAGCGAGGTGAATGATGACACCCAACGACAAAATATATAAAGGGGGAGGAAGGTAATACTGCCGAAAAGGCTTTTTATATTCATTTTTGGATTCGAATAACATTAAAACTTGTGATTTTTAAAGGTAGGTCGTTTAAAATGTATAAGGCACGCGCATTTTAAAACCAAAAAGTTCAATTTCAGTAAGCAAATTTGTTATTGTTAAATAAAAGTTAATATCATGACACGTTTTTTTAATATTAACCATGAACATTCATCCATGTGAATCTATAATTGAGAATTTCTAGCGATTACTGGTATAAATCAAATTGATCAAGAGTTTTTGCATGCATATATTTCCATAAAATTGAATTTTATAACTTATATCAATTTATAAAATCTAATTTAATATTTATGATATAGTAATAAATTCTAAAACATTAAATAGAGGTATACATTTAATTATTTAATTAATTTTCAATAGTATTTACTGTAAATTTTGTCAGTTATTTAACGTACGTATTTATAGTTTTGACAATTCTGTCATGGAAATAATTAAATACTCTTATACTTCACTAAAATATGTTGTAACTTTGTTTAAAATTAAATCATTTTTATAACTATCACCTACTTACAAACATCCATTTTTAAATTAATCTTTACTGCGGTAGTATTGTATTTTAATACCAAATTTTTAAATTTTTGACGATCGAAAATTTGAATTTGTTTTCAATTAATCATACGTCCAAACCAATACTGTTTAAAATAAAGATTATTAAAACCTCTCATTCTGTAATTATTATTCATTTGAATGGAATGAAGTTTTCAACATCAGTGCATAATAAATTAATTTTTTTCGCATGAAAAAATACATTTTTGGTTATTGTTCAAATAAACGTTCTTGTTTGTATGATGCTATAAAATGCCTTGTAATATTTCAGTGTAAAGTGAACAATTGAAGTTTCCAACAAGTAATATTGATTCCAATAAAATGCTTACTCTGCTTATTCCACACAGTTAGAATATTAATTTTTGAAACTTTTTTGAAAAATGAGCTTATGATATTAGGCTCGTTTAAATGTATTTTTCAATTAAATTATTTTAACACCCACCAAGACATTCAACTGAGGGCTAACTCAAATTTTTCTATTCGACGCATTCTATTAAAATGTAAAATTTATCTGTTAGATTATAAAAATGTTAAATAAAATAATTCTTCGTTTCTTGGTTTTTTAACCAGTTGTAATTGAATTACATATCAAATTTTAAATTTTGTTATCCAATATTAGAACATTGGAAGTGGCGATAGGTCTAAATACCGCATTTAATTTAGTTCCATGATATTTAAGAACAATTTATTATTCAAGCTTCATTTTAAATCGATAGCTACTCATTTAAGGTCGACTTCTGAATTATTTACATTAAACTGTAAAAACGTATTAGATTACGTATATTTTTCAAGTTGATAATAAAATCTAATTCTAATTTTTTAAAAATGTGTAATAATTTGTGTTTAAGTAATAAAAACGTCACTTAGTTAATAACATAGCGAACAAATTAAATATATATATATATATATATTTCAAAGTTAAAACAAGTAGTGTCTACATTTGTATTTCTCGGATTTGTACTTCGACGACACATCGTAAAAAAATGTTTGTAAAATAAAAAAAACCTGTACAATATGAAGAACGCAAAATAATTCAAGTAGAAGGATTGTTAAATTCTTAAACGTTTCCACGTATCTGTATTATAATAACCTAAGCTATTATCTGATAATATATGAAATTTCCTACTGTGTTATCATGAAAAAAAGGTTTCTATCCACCAATCGTCTGTTCAAACTGTTACGTTTCAGATTGTTGTTATTATTTTATCGGAATTACCAGATGAGAACCTTGCGAGTCTTCGCTCATTGTTCGTGGGTTGATCCCCGTTTACGAAATTTAAAATATCGGAAACAAGTATCGTTTACTCTATGGCTTATTCTAAAAATAATTCAAAGCGCATTCGCTCTCGGTTACCATGCTCCATGCTCGCATTGATAAGGCTTCTTGTGTATACTCACCGCACTTTTATCTCGGCCGAATACAACAAATACTAATTCCGGGCGAGGTACTAGTGATACCCCTCAAATTGCAATCAATTACTATTTATCAATTATGAATAGTATTTGCCTTATTAGTTCTGTACCAAATGGTGATATTTCAACGGTTTGAAACGTACATTTTGAAAATAAATGCACGTAGCACATTTAAACTAATTTATGGAAAAATTCGACGTGATATTTTTATATATAATGCGTGTTGGTCGTGTTTAGGAAGTTTGACAACGGTGTAAACAAGCATCGAATGAATTTAAAGTATACTTTAAAGTGTAATTGCCTTCATTATTCATCATTAAGAACTTCATAAATTAAATAAATAAATGGATTAAAAATTATTTAAAACTATTATGAAAAATATCGATTATTTTTATATGGTAATAATTTGATATGAAAATATTCACATTTAAATATTTAAAATGTTGCGACGGGTCTAACTGAAACAAACACGCCGTGGTCGTAGTTTGTTATAGTATTGATTTTACAATAATGTATAACATTATGAAAAACTTATTTTTTAACGTTCGGCAGTTTT